TGGACTGGAAGCTGGAGTATGGGTGGGCCTGGGGTCCCCTACCGGCCATTGGGAAAGTGGCATAGGACCTGGCCTTGGATTGGAAGACTTGTCTGGAGCAGTATGAGGACAGCTGATTCAGTGGGACTTTGATATCCTTGAGGAGGAGAATTACATAGTGATCTGGATAGAGGGCGGAGTCATGAAAGGGAGAACTGTGAGTCCTGGAGAGCGAGAGGGGGCATGATCTGAGCAACCCGTGGAAGGCAGGCATCAGACTTGAGTGGAGCTAATCCCCAGACATGGCCACAAGGAGGCGCCCCAGTGGTGAGTGAACCCTGTGACAGTAGGAAATGGGGCCTTAGTTACCCCATATACCAATGTCTTGTACCTGCAGTATTTAATTAAAAATACAGAAGAACCCCATTTATCCAATCTAATTGGGACCAGGGCCAGACTGGAGGTTTTGATTATCTTGATAAACCAGAGAATGGGGAAATGAGATACTGCAGCACTGTCTAGTGACCACAGGAGGGATCCCCCACTTCAGGCTCTGGAGTCCTGATTGTTCGGTAAATGCGGAGAACTGATTAAGTAAGGGTTGGATAAACGGAGTTCTACTGTACAATGAACATAGCCTCCTAGTGTTATTGGTCTTTCCCTGATTCTTTAGCGGAATGGCTGAGGCTTACAATAGAGGGTTACACTTTCCGTTTCATGTCCCTTAATGTAGAGCTCAAAAGAGAGGGCAGAAGAAAAACTAGGCTGGCTGAATGACAGAAAACATTAGGGGAAAAGTGATCTCTTAGACAGGAGAATGGTCTCCCCAGGGAAGTAGGGGAAGCCTAAGTGCTTGAGGAATTTTGAACTTTAGGTGAAGTCTAGACAATATCTGGAGTATGGTGTGGTGAGTGGAGTGAGAATGGGCAAGAAAATCTACCAGACTCCCTCATTTCTATGTGGGGGGAAGCAAAGGGAGGCCACAAAGTTCTCTAAAGCCAATGATTCATATATAAAAGGAGCTTTTTGACTCATGTTCATGAAAGCCTCCTGTGGAAACTGCTACCATTGCTCGTCATGAGAGAGAGAACTGATGGGGGGACAAAGCTCAGGGTGGCTGAATTCCCCAAAGTTACAGGAACAGCTTTTCGACCTACAAACTTTCATAGTTAAGTTCTGCTCTGGGGCTGCTAGTTGATAGAGCCCAGGACACATGAAATTTGATATTTTGCTTGCTAGATAAATGATCCAAGACAACATCATGGTCAGAGCTAAAGAAAATGAATTACCGAGACAACTATAGAGGTTTCAGCTCTGGCACTTACCAACCACAAAAGCTGTTTAGTGCAGTTGTGTTAACTGTAAACATATTCAGCCACCCTTACCCATAAAACCAGTGTTCTGCCACCATTGAGACTATCCAGAAAGGCTGAGATGGATGAATAGTGATTTGGAGCTTTGAGAAGAGAGAACTGATCAAGAGCTGGTTTCTAACATGAATAACAAAAAGGAGGGATTTAGGAGCCAGGGTGTCTGTGCCAGGACTACTTATGTAGGCAGTGTTGGTGTGGATAACTTAATTAAAATATGTAATAAATGGAATGTTTCACTAATGTTTAGATGCTTTACTGATTGGAACTACAGATGAAATACTTTTACAGTGAAGGCGATGTGGCAAGACGCTTCTGTTGACTGTTGGTGGTATGGTTAGGCAAACTATTGAGGAATATGATGACTCCAGCCTATCAACATACCTGAGGTGGAGGTCAGATCTGTGCACATTTCTTGTGCATGCACCCCTTACCCCCAGTGCCTGATCTTTTTGCCTTTGTATCATCATATCTGTAAACAGTTTTGGAAATTCTAAACTTAAGTTAAGGAGTACTTGTGGCACCTTAGAGACTAACCAATTTATTTGAGCATAAGCTTTCGTGAGCTACAGCTCACTTCATCGGATGCATACTGTGGCATGCAGTTGATAGATTTCCACTCCATACGGCTAAATGCAGTGCCTTGCATAATGACAGGTTTCAGAGTAACAGCCGTGTTAGTCTGTATTCGCAAAAAGAAAAGGAGTACTTGTGGCACCTTAGAGACTAACCAATTTATTGGAGCATGAGCTTTCGTGAGCTACAGCTTCATGAGCTACAGTGAAGCTACACTTCATCAAAGTGAGCTGTAGCTCATGAAAGCTTATGCTCAAATAAATTGGTTAGTCTCTAAGGTGCCACAAGTACTCCTTTTCTTTTTGCGAATACAGACTAACACGGCTGTTACTCTGAAACCTAAACTTAAGTTAGTGTCTTGGGAAAAACCTACATGCCATGGGGTTGCTGCAGGAGAGGTGTAAGTCTTATTGCTTGCAATGTTGTTATAAACAACATGCATTTGAACAGTTCTTTCTTTTTAATCCTAAATTACACTTGTACAGTTTCAGTAGGCCGCCTTATTCAAGTTAGTCTCATGCAATGTGGAAGCATTGGGTAAACACTGTGTGTGTGTGTGTGTGTGTGTATATATATATATATATAGAGGAAGGACACCAGGAAGCATGGAAGGAATTTTGATTATGTTTGTGTCTCCTCTTTTCCCAGGATTCCGTGAAGGACCCAAAAAGGCCAGTGTCTCAGGAGCAGGAATGTTATTGATTTAAATTTTCATGTTTGTGGGAAATGATGGGGGAGGGGGTCAGATAATGTGGGGATTAGACAATAATTATTCTGACAGTAGACGCTGAAGCTCTATAACCATTAAAATACACAGTCAAGTCACATGTCAAAATATACAAAGTAAATATCATTCAATCAAACTCTAAGTTCTCAAGCAGCATTTTTCTAGCTTTGCCTCTCTGCACATTTTGATTATTATCAATGGAAATATTTTTTGTTGGTTTGTGTGTGTGTGATGAAATCAATGTTTACTGACATTTACCGTTTTAAAAAAAAAATCTAAACCTTCCAAGCCTATAGATAATGGTTCTAGTCTTTTCTGCTTGGATTTTCAAGGCTGCACAACATTTGTATGAAGTGCATTCTGTGAAAATCTGGCTAACCATCACATGCTGTATCAGCATCTGATGTCAGAGTCAGAGGATAGTAGTTGTTTTTCACATGCTGTCATACACTTTGAAATGCGTTTCCCAAAGAGATCTGGGAGGTAGGATGCCATACTAGCCCAGTTACACAGATGCAGGTGTCTCCTTCTACACAGAAGAACTACTAGGTCAGTGGTTCTCAAACTTTTGTACTGGTGACCCCTTTCACATAGCAAGCCTCTGAGTGCGACCCCCTCTTATAAATTTAAAAATATTTTTTTATATATGTAACACCATTATAAATGCTGAAGGCAAAGCGGGGTTTGGGGTGGAGGCTGACAGCTCGCGCCCCCCCATATAATAACCTCGCGACCCCCGAGAGGTCCCAACCCCCCGTTTGAGAACTCCTGTACTAGATGCTGGTTTCAGTCTCTAAGGTGCCACAAGTACTCCTTTTCTTTTTGCAAATACAGACTAACACGGCTGTTACTCTGAAGCTTGACAGTCATGATACAAACTTGGTACAAATCTGACATACAGGCTTTTCCCTTGTTGGTGTGCTGTGAAATTGTAGAATTGCCTGTGAGGGTCAGCTAACATGGTTCTATAGCCAGCCTAGAGAACTGACCTAGAGGTGTCAAGATTGTGTTACAAGAATTCCAGTCTTGCCTGTGTAGAGGTGAGACCTAATGGTGTTTTACCCATTACGGCCTCATATTACAGCTGTGGACTTCACAAGTTGTTGTTGAACATATGTATCCTCTGGTATTTATTTTGATTCTCTTACACATTTGCAGATACTACCTTGTAGGCTTGTAATCATAATATATTAAAACTTGATCAAATCTCTCAAAGGTTTGAAACACTTCACTGCTATGTGCCATAGTTATGTTACAGTTGCGTGTGGTACCAAAGAATTCTCCAGAGCATCATGCACACTAATGGCAAAGAATAAATAATTGCATCCAAACCACTGTTTAAAAAAAAAAAAAAAGGGTATGGTTGAAAAGTCAAGATGTCGCTTATAAGGAAGGAAGTCTGTTCAGGAAGCATTTGAAAGTGGGAGCTTGGCATCCATATTAAGGGTGGAAAACTAGAATGTGTTCAGACTTGGTTTCCTATCCCTATGGGAAGTTCCTATGGTCTTATAGTGCCCAGAAGGCAGTGTTGACTTTGTAACTGTTGTCCTGATCCTGAGAGATGCTCAGTACCATGCTGAAAAAACAGAATTATTAGTGTATTTTACAATAGTCTCAAATACTGCAGCAGTAGCACTAGAAGAGACATTTTACTGTAGGATAATTGCAGTGCTCTCTTAAAAGGGCATGTGCTACTCCCACTGAAGTAATGGGGAAATGATTGTGCTAGGTGCCTCCCCGTATTAGCCTGCTAGTTTGCAAAGGTAGTATTAGTTGTTAAAACTGCTTTAGCTTTCTCCTAGTGCCAGTTGTGCTAAACTGTGCATCTGAGTCAGAGAGAGTGGGGGAAGGGACTTGCTCTAAATAATTTAATTAGCTGACTGAGCTGAGATCAGATTCTGTGTGGTGGTTCCTCCTCCACCACCCCCAAAGTCTCCTTCTGGAGAAAGTAAACTCCCAACTATGATCTTCAAAGTTCTAGCTAGCTAGGAGTATCAGTGCATTAACTGTAAACCTCAGAGAGGCACTCTACGAAGTACAAATTTCCAGTATGTAAGTGTCCACCTATAGTTTCTCATCTTGAGCCTCTAGGGATAATGGTCAGTAGGAACCCTCTATGTTAGCCATCTTCACTTGAATTCGGACAGAAGCACAAGTGAGTGTAGGGATGCAGTTAATACTTTCATGTGAAGTGTATGCAAATTCCATTCCTGCACAAATGGAAGATCATACACAGCATCAGCAAACAAGTGAAAGATAGTGTACATATTTTCTTAAATTACTGGATTTAAGCTTCCAACAATTGTTACATTTGTGGTGGGGTGTGTATTAAATGACAACACAAATACTAATTCCCAAATGCATATTTTAATGAAATTTGTTTAACGATACACAGTACCATGTATCCACCATAGGAATTTACCCCAAAAAAGCAGGTTTCATATTTTTAAAAATAAACTTATTTTTATTATAAATTCATAAATAGATGAATGTAAAATATTAAAAATCACTATAGTATGCAAGCTTGCTCCCTTATCTCCACATTCCAAACAATCTGGTCAATATCATAAGAAAGCGTAAATGCAAAATTGTTATCAGAGAGAGAAATGTGAGGCTTGCATCTCTTCATGGAAACATAGACAATTAGCAAGCGATCTGTCATAGTAAATGAAGACTACTTTGTAACACTGGAGTTCTCCAAACCTTTAAGTAATTTTGGAATGCAGTGAGTGAATTCAATATGAATTAGAGCTTTTTGCCCCTAACCAAATGTGTAAGCCAGACTCTTTTGAATGCTGTGGATCCTGGGCCACTGGATTTTCTAACCATCAGTCATCAAGTGAGACACTATTACAAAAGAGGGAAAAAGCACTGAGCACAATTAGGATCTCAAAAGTCTCAGCATTTATCAGTGTAGATTTACAAAATAACAATCTTCCTCTTCTTCAAATATTACAAATAAGCAATCCACCTTTTCTTCATTATAGGCTGAATTCACAACTTTGCTCCACCTCACCCATAAAATATGACAAGTGGGCCAGAGTCTGATCTCAGTTGCTGGAGTTATACTTGGTTTTTACACTGGTGTAATCACGAGTCATACAGGGCTTTGAATTGGCACATTTGTCATTCAATTTGTGATTTTCACTCTATTCCACTTACAATTTTACTGAGCAGTTATGATGTTCAATCCTCTAGGAAGGGGGTCTTAAACAACTGATGTTATTTTGTCAGCATTATTCTCCTCAGTGTATCAGTCCTTGCTGTTAAAGCAACAAATATTATTTTATCAAGTATGAACTGCCTCCCATATTTAAAATATCTTTCCAATTTTTTAAAATATTCATTTACTTAGTAAAAAATACTTATTTATACACAAGGGATTGAAATAAAAATGGGCTGGAAATGAATAATACAAAATACCAGACACCCTTGTCTTCTGAGCTCTGCTTTTCATCTTAAGATGCGCAATGTCTTTTAATAGAATCACGTTCTGTTAGTGCAAACCTTTCCTAACACAAGTCATTTTGTACTGAACTCTTAGGTCCAGACTTTTACATGCAGATAGGCACCTAGTGGAATTTTCAAAAGTGCTTAACAGCCTGACTCCTACTGAAAATCCCACTACACTCCTATTTCAGTTTTAGGCATCAGCACACCTTAAAAAGAAAACTGGCCTTTATAGCCTTATCTTAAAAAAAAAAAAAAATCAAAAATTGTCTTCAAATTGCAAGTACAAGTTTGCATGCCCCTGTTTTTCAATGCACAATTTTTTCACATCCATGTTCTTTCAACTTTGGATGCCCAAAATCGCACCCACTATGTCCTCAGAGGAATGCATACCATCTGAGAACATCAAGTGAATCTGAGAATCAAAGGGCAGAATTTCCTACTTAAAGCAAGAAAAGAAGCAACATCTCATGGCCTCTTAGTCTATTGCAGAAAAATGACACTGACCTTCACCTACTCAGGAGCAGACTGAAATTGCTGCTGTCTGATAATTTACTGTAAGGAGATTGGCTTTTTGGAGTGTAATTATTAATTATGGAAGTGATTCTTGTCTAAGTATTCCTGCATAAATACATGTTTGGGTGCATCAAACAGATGTAACTAAGGGGAGAAATACACACTTTTCTAACCTTAACTCTCATACATAGTTTTTCTCTGGGGACTTGGGGTTTTTTAAAACAGAAAGGGGAGGTGTTATTTTGCATTATCAATTGTCAGAACTGGCATTACATATGTATACACTTTTACAATTTTGGGTGGGGTTGGGGTCTCCAGGGGCCATGGTCATTAAAGCAATAATTCACCAGGTAAAAGGGGGTGGATGGGTCTCTTCCCACACTACCACAACACTTGTTTATGGCCCACTGGACACAGCTTCCCACCATCGTGAGAGCTGTAGGATTTTGTCCTTTGATAGCTGAATGTGTGTAGTCTAATGTTGGAAATAACTTGACTGAGCTGCAATGCTTTAAAGGTGACTTGAAAAGACTTTTTTAAATAAAATGGATTGCACCCTTTGTTCCCTATAATATATAAAGGAAGCTTCAAAGACTGCCTTAAAATATTTTAATTTTTTATATCAGGAATATCAAGTCTGATCTCCCCTGGTTTTGCTGGAGCTTGTTTGGGGGAAGGGGCCTGTGGATATTAGGCTCTCTCACCTCATAACTGAAGGGGCTAGGGATGTTAAATATTTAACACTACATTTGGAGTTAAAGAGATGTCAACAAATGCCAAACTTCAAAACAGGCCCTTTCCTAATTATTCATTTTATAAGCTCTTGTCATATCCTAATTCCACTACTTCTTCAGCACTCCATGGAGTTCCAGGGTAGACAATGCCTGCATTTCTAATGTAAAAAAAAGCAAGCAGGAAAAAACAGTAACTGAATGTGTGAGGTGCTTAATCCTCAAGAAAAGAATTTTCCTCCAATTTTGTGTTTAAATCTGTTTAGATGTAGTTATTTAACAGTCCAAAGAAAAATCCCCTCGCATCTGATTGCTGAATGCTGTGATGTCATCATGCTGGTTTGCATTCCAGTGTCCACAAAAATCTAAGAGGAAAAACAAGGCAGCAGTTTTGGGCAAGGACTCTGTGTGTACATGTACATACACCACCTAGCATAAGGAGTGACAAATACAAATTATTTGAATTTCTAATGTACAAATTTCTGGAGGGTGGGGATAGGATACAGAGGGACCTAGACAAATTAGACAAAAGCAATCTGATGAGGTTCAACAAGGACAAGTGCAGAGTCCTGCACTTAGGACGGAAGAATCCCATGCACCGCTACAGTCTAGGGTCCGACCTGTTAGGCAGCAGTTCTACAGAAAAGGACCTAGGGATTACAGTGGATGAGAAGCTGGATATGAGTCAACAGTGTGCCCTTGTTGGCAAGAAGGCCAATGGTATTTTGGGTGTATAAGTAGGGGCATTGCCAGCAGATCGAGGGACATGATCGTTCCCCTCTATTCAACATTGGTGAGGCCTCATCTGGAGTACTGTGTCCAGTTTGGGCCCCACACTACAAGAAGGATGTGGAAAAATTGGAAAATGGCCAGCGGAGGGCAACAAAAATGATTAAGGGACTGGAACACATGGCTTATGAGGAGAGACTGAGGGAACTGGGATTGTTGAGTCTGCGGAAGAGAAGAATGAGGGGGGATTTGATAGCTGCTTTCAACTACCTGAAAGGGGGTTCCAAAGAGGATAGATCGAGACTGTTCTCAGTGGTAGCAGATGACAGAACAAGGAGTAATGGTCTCAAGTTGCAGTGGGGGAGGTTTAGGTTGGATATTAGGAAAAACTTTTTCACTAGGAGGATGGTGAAGCACTGGAATGGGTTACCTAGGGAGGTGGTGGAATCTCCTTCCTTAGAAGTTTTTAAGGTCAGGCTTGACAAAGCCCTGGCTGGGATGATTTAGTTGGGGATTGGTCCTGCTTTGAGCAGGGGGTTGGACTAGATGACCTCCTGAGGTCCCTTTCAACCCTGATATTCTATGAAAACAGAAATGTCCCCTTCTTAAAAAACAAAACCAACTTTGAAGAGGGCACAAACCTATTTTTACCCTTTGCTAGTCCTCTTAAAAGAAATAATCTCCTATCCTGATCCTAGTTCCCAAGTATGCACTGGTCATTCTCATTTTACCATAAAAGACAGCATTTATGTGGATATGAAGTTTCCTATCCATTTTTTTGTGTAGTTAATATTTTTGAGTAAATTCAAAAGAAAATCCATTGATCTGATAAACAGAGGGATCCAGTTCCAGGAAGAAGTTAAGGATTGGCTATCCTAAAGCAGTGCTTAATTTGTACCAGGGCTTGCCAGGGTTGGGCCCCGGCACCTCTAGGCCTGGCAGTTCATAGCTACAGCACCCCTGGAGTTGGTGTGTCAGGTATGAAAGTAAAAAAATTGCTTGAGCCCTGGCACCTCTTTCATTACAAATTAAGCACTCTCCTAAAATACAAATAGACCCTGTATCTGAATGCTTGAATCACTCTTTGCATCTACCACCTCAAAGGATTCTAAAACTTATTCCAGCTTTGGTGTAAGCATGCAGGTGTAACATTATTACCCCAATAACAAATAAGAGCTAGGGTTGCCAATTTTAGTTGGACATATTCGTGGAGGTTTCATCACATGATGTGAGCTTCAATTAAAGATTAATCTTTAATTCCTGGAGACTCCAGGACAATCCTGACGGTTCATCTGAAAGCTGTTCCTCAACAGAATGGTCAGCACTAAAATGAAACACGGAAAAATCTAAAATTAGCTAAGGTTTCCAAAGGCCTACAAATCACTTGAGTGCATGGGAAAGAATTGTAAGGTCTGATTGGTCAATGACACACTTCAAGCCACCTTGTTCCTTCCAATTATTACATGTAGTGCCTGAATGTTTTCCCCTCTCTCTACTTCTAATGCGTGCCTGTGCACAGACCTGCCTGCTTTCAACTTTATCTCTGACACTATTTCAGTTATATAAAAATCTCCTTTTGACATAAAGGAAAAGATGCTTATGTCAGGAAGGACACAATGGAAGTAGGTTCAGTTTCAAACATTATTCTCTCCCGACCATTTCACCTCTAGACTTGGTGCAAAATGACCTGACTATACTGTCCTTCAGGGCATGCTGCAAGATCTCCCCCACCCCCATTTTTTTGGTCACATTTGGGGGCGGGGGGGGTGGAATATACAGAGAACCGGGGAGTCCAGGATAAAATGGAATATTTGTTTGCTCTTTGTCTGACTCTGGTAGGATTTTGTTAAGGGATGAGGACCGACCGGAGTCTATATCAGTTCTGTTTTTTATTGAAACTAAATTAAATAAAATGGAGCCAGAATTCAAAAGCTCAGTGGCTTTACATGGAGGGATCTGTAAGACTCAACTCCCAGTTATTTTGAGCAGATATTCAACCCTAGTCATTTACACCTGTGAAAAGTCAGTGTAAAATGCTACCTTTCTCTGACCTGATAGGGTCTTGTATTCACTTTGCACTGGTGCAAATGGCTGCATAAGATTTAGTTCTGCCAGGGAAGATCTTCAAAGGCACAAAGAGGAGTTTGGGGGCTTAACTGCTCTTTGTGATGTTGAAATCTGCCCTCAAAGTACATTACAAAGTGGTCAATTAAATCCTGGTGATGCTGTGACTGTGCAGGCCAAAGGGACTGCCCATGCACTCTGAACTGAATACAATACCAACAGGGGGAAATACTGGCCAGGGCAACACTTGTGCCAGTCCTGCAACAAACAAAGTGTCTTGGGATGGCTAGTGTGCAGCTAGCAAACACAGGATGGACCAAAGGGACCTATGTGTACTGTCTAATTTGAAAGATAGTGTGCCAAGATACATTAGCTAGAATCTTCCAGTAGCTTCATATTGTTACCAGTAAGTTTGTAAGGTTTTCTAGGGGAAAGATGCATGAGGGTAACCACAGGCTAAATATCTCCTTGCAACAGATAACTGTCAATTTAGAGTGTGCACAGTACAATCGTACTTCACAAGGTCTGTAGGAAATGGACAGTAACAAACAATGTAAAACTGGTGTTGGAAAAGAAGCTTTACTTCCCTCCTGCCCCCCAACCTATTTACAGACAGCTGCTAATCAACTTCACAATGGCTTTCAATGTGCAGTGGTGAAACAATAGCCAAATCTCTCTTGCCTTTGTTACTCAGCCCTGGTCTACACTACAAACTTATATTGGTATAACTGTGTCGCTCAGGGGTGTGGAAAATCCACTCACCTGAGCGATGCAGTTATACCAACCTAAACCCCAGTGTAGACAGCGCTCAGGGAGGTGGCACATCTTCACTAAGCGCTACAACAGGCAGCTGCACTGATGTAGATGTGCCCACTGCAGTGCTCTAAGTGTAGACAAGGCCTCATGCCCCATAGAAGCAATGGCTTAGTCCCAGGGCTATGGTTGAGGAGTACCCAGAGCCAGCTCAGAACGGGGCTGGGCCTTTGTGCTCCCAAAGCTGAAACAGTTGTATGCTGGTCAGGCCTGCAGTGCATCTGAGCAGCCTAAAGGCCCAACCTAAGGACTAGTCAGGTCTGGGATAACTTAGAGCCCTGGAACATTGCCAGAGTGCATTATCACTTTTGCTCTGCCCCTTTCCCCACCTGTGCCTTCTACACTATGGCTGTGAGGGGAAGGTCCTCCACTACAGACTGCCTGTGTGACTTCGGGCAAGTCACTTAGGCCCTGTCTACACTACTACAACCTAAGTTACGCTACTCCAGCTACGTGAATAATGTAAGTGGAGTTGATGTAGCATAGATCGATTTACTGCAGTGTCAATGGAAAACGCTCTACTGTTGACTTACCTTACTCTTCTCGTTCCAGTGGAGTACCAGAGTTGACTGGAGAGCACTCTGTGGGCAATTTAGCAGGTCTTCAGTAGACCCGCTAAAACGACCCCCGCTGCATCGATCGCATCTATCCCCGGTAAGTGTAGACATAGCCTTAGTCTCTCTGTGCCTGTGAATTGGGATAACACCACCTCTCTACCTCACAGGGGTGTTGTGAGTATAAATCCATCGAAGACTGAGAGACATTGAGATGCTATGGTAATGGAAGCCATATAAGTACCTTAGATTTTCCATGAGAACTAAAAAAAAATCATTTTAACTCTGTCTAGATTTGTCTACATCTGGTTTGTGTGTCTGTTTATCTACCTCAGTCTTGAGCCTTGTTAATGTCCTGAATGAGTCTACAGAGAACAGGACTAACAGGTGCTAAACTATACCTTCCAATCTTGGAAGATATCAGACAGTCACCTTTCCCTTTTATTTTCCAGCTCTCAAAGAATGGTTTGTTCTCAATGAGTTTTCCTCCATTGTACAGGCTGATCTGTTAAAGTACACCTGAACTCTGGGAGGCACAGTGGTTGAAGCTAAATAACTTCAACTACTCAGTAATTTATTAGCCAATAAATGCTCTTTAAATTTTAGACTTACATTATGCAAATCTGCTTGTGTGTATTACCTTAATTTTACTTTAGACGTGTGTGTGTAGTTGAGAATACCACTACAGAGTCACTGGGAATCAATACCAGATGGCAAGAGACAATCAAATGGCCAGTCAGATACTATTTTCGACTATAACATTAAATAATGGAACAATACATGGTAGGAGATAATCAAAAACTGCTTTTCAATATTGTTTAAGAATAGTGCTGCTTGAACAATTTGTCAGCACTACACAACAATAAAACCTACTGTTTTAGTAAATCTGATCTTATGCAGTCTTGTTGATAGCGTACCATTATAGAACTCCAGAGGCAATGAAAAAACTGAAGTAAAGCCAAAGCTCTTGTGAAACTCCATGAAGTGGAGGGTCAGCTGGGTCAGATCCTGTTTGAGGTTAACAAACACTGCAGAATGTGACATGACCTTGACTGTAGTAAAACTGATACCATAATTAGGGGATTTTTTTCTCCAGTGTTCAGTTTTTTAGTTTGTTTTACAAAACAAATTATTATCAGGGTTCTATGCTAATACACATTCATTTGAAAATGACACAATTATAAATATTTGCACAAATTCTGCCCATCAAAATGGACTGCATCAGCAACAGGAGGTGAATTTAAAAGTTAGTTCTATCCAAACCAAAACAGGGAAGAGCACCATTCACACAAAGAGAATAAAATTCTGTAAGAATTCTCATTTCACCGTTTGCCATTGAATTTCACCTTGTAAGCTGTTTGGGGCAAGGACCAATACCCCTTTTTTTACACTCTACTGTACTTAGCACACTTCGGGTACTGCCAAAAGCAAACGATAAATACTATAAAAGTAATGGTAGGCTAAGATGATCTGCCTAAAGCAATTAATGCACTACCCAACAGTGTAATGGCTATATATTGTTTTGCTAATGTTCAACTGCCAGCAAACAGGGCTCTTAGCAAATATTTATGCCTTAAACTGTGTTAGTATGCTACTGAGCCACTCATTTGATGTACATCATTGCAGGTTCCTAACCTGAGATTTCCAAGAAATAGTTTTGTGCCTATAAATGTAGGGCCAAATCCTGCTCACCCTCCTCTAGCGCAATTCTCCTTTTGGTTTCAATGGGATTACTGAAAATAAAGCAAGCAGGATTTAGCTCCTACTGCTTAGATTGCATAGCTATGGATATGACATCGATCAAAGGCTAGCTAAACAGTAAAGTTTATAAAAGGGATTATTGAAAAAGATATAAATTCTGTTTTCATGGTTAAATATATTTCAGTACAAAGAACCATGCATCTAGGAGGACTGTACCATTACTATCACACGCAGGTGATATGTATGGTATACGCTGCTGGGGTAGTTGAAACAGTGTATTATGAACCTAAATGCTGTACAGTTGACTGATATGTGGCAAACTGATTTGGATAAATGAGGTTCCTCTCTCCATTTCTTTATTCCCTGACATTTTGCTAGGTAGGACATGCAAACTTGTATTATGGGGGTGTTGTGTTTTTTTAAGTGAGAAGACATAGCTGCTCTAAAACTAAAGGACTATAGCTTTACAGGAAAATCTGAGAAGCTAAAGCATATCCTTCATTTGAAGGCCCAGTAAACAAACAACTGGTACTGTGTTTTATAGTAACTTCTGACTGAAACAGACTAAGCTCTGCAGGTGGATTCTTAAACTTCAACCCTGCAGTTGAAACAGCAGGTGAACTATGGCAAAGGATTAAGAAAAAAATAAAGTGCTTGATTTATTTCTATTCGGTTGCTAAACTTAGGTCAACATTAAAGAAACTCGCATGCTTATATTCTTTAACATGATGGGCTCAAATCTGCCTCCATTTATAGTGAGTGGCAAAACTTTCGCTGAATGCAATGGGAATAGGGTCCAGGTCCTTTCTGGCTCTTGAGATATATAGCTCATCCAGGCCTAGAATGCATTATCTAAGCTACAGAAGATTAGCTGTGATCTAAGTAGTTTCAATATTCTTGTTTTTACATGCACATGAATTTTTATTAGCATGGTTTTAAGAATGTAACTTGGCACCAGTCCTGTAAATAATGGGACTGTGGATTGATGTAAAGGTCCATGTGTTGGCACACCAAATTGTTGGATTTGGGCTTATAGATGTACACTAAAACTTATGATGACAAGACACAAGTATTCTCTGCTTTAAGACCTTGTCAGCTTTTCTACTGTAAGCACTTCAGAAATGGACAGAATAACTCTACCCAGCCTATTCAGGCTGATCAACAAACAGGAGAGGTTCTTAAATATATTTGCTATGGAACCTTTTCACTAGAAAAAAGATTTCAAGACTGAATTTTAGTTTTTAATCAGACCTCTTTTCTAGATTAAACTGACTTTTAACCCCTCTTTGGGGATGGAGTAGGGGGTTTGCTGTTTAGTAACCAATACTAAGTTAGTTGGCTAGAGTTTTGGAAAAACTTCATCTCCAGTGTTTAGTTACTTCTGGGCACTCAGTGCCTCTTATCTTTGGATGTAGGAGACCCTAGAGTATCCTGGAAAACTGCCCTATTTAAAACCAAAAACTATATTTGTGCCTCACCCTGCATTTCCATATAAAATAGAAATGTGAAAACTAAACTAACTAAATGTTTTAAGGCCCCTTTATTCTTACAACTATAAAATCTGAAGTCAAGTTTATCTTAAATTACAAGCAAACAGTCTACAAAACATACATCATTCTTTAGTCAACTACTTCAGTAGAAAATAGTTCAACATTTTCTGCAGGAAAATGATTTTTCTGATGAATCAACATTTAAAACAGGGTCAATGATATTAGCCCTTTCCTAGTTTCTTGGCTTTCATTCTATGTGTGGAATGGCCATAAACTGTATTCCTGGTAATAATAATAATAATCCAAATACACCCTATCCTTTTAGGTTAAGACTTTCAAAAACAACTACTGATTTTTTTTTTTTTAAATAGGTGCAGCAACCTGAAACACCTTAAGGGGACCTGATTTTTGAGGACGTGTATTCTGAAAATCAGGCTCTTTTAAAATATCTTGAGTCAGGCACCCAAAATCACTATTCTGAAAACCTTGGTTTTAAACTGTAGATTTAAAAAATCCAGCTTCTGTTCCTTTTGTAAATCCCTGTTTGTAAGGTGCTTGAGAGGGTAAATCCAGGGATAGTTGATGGCGTCAGCACTTTCTAACTGCAGACACAACATAAGCTCATAATAAAGAGCTACATCTTTAAGCCAACTACTTAGCTGGGTTATTAAAATCAATTTTAGTTAATATTGCAGACTTTTGGTCAACAGTAAAAAGATTTTTCTTGCTGAAGATCTGCAAGAAATGAAAAGCAACCGGCAACTTGTGATTGTGAGAGAGGGAATCAGAAAGATCTCAATACGTTCCTATAGCCAAGAAATCATGTTTCATACAATCCTCAGCTAATCTGAAGTTCATTGTCCCATCAAATGCCCAGGCTGTAGTTAAAGAATGGGACAGTCACAGTCACTTGTGCAATGAAACCTCTGGCAACAAAAATTAATGCTCATCACATGTGATTGGAACTAACTTTGTATGTGACCAGTTAGACATACTACAGCATTCCAAAGTCAGTCATGGCTAGCAAAGTCTGTTCAAGGCTTCTCCAGTTCTTATTTCCAGTGGTGCTTGAGTTATGGAATGAAATGAATAAAGCTGAGGGTAAAAACTCCATGACACCAAGTAGGAAAAGGAACTATTCACTGTGCAAATAAGTAACAAAATAATCAAAGCCCTCCTTCTCCAAGAGTGAATTTAAGAAACATTAAATGTATTGACTCATCTTGCTAAACAAGCAGGCAATCGGTATTGCTCAGGCTTATTTCACTATTTGAATGATGATTTTTTAAAAATCAGTGAGACAGCCCACTTAAGCTTGTACCAACAGTATTTAGTGGTCCATGTGCCACATTTCATTTTCAAGGAGAGACCTTTCATGGTGGTACAGTGTTCTTGGACAGAGGATTGCTGCTTGGTCCTGTGTTCAAAACATTCAAGTTTTTGATACTTGAAACAGCTTTGCCACAGTCACTGTCTAACCTGTCTGGTGTATGTGGTCATTGGTGGAATGCTGAGAATTTAAAAAGACCCTATCAAGGGACTGACCTACAGGCAGAAATAGTTACACCTTTGCCAGCTATCCCATACGGAAGGGTTTAGGACTTCAGGTATGTGGTGGTTTCTTGTGTAGTTACCTTCCCTGCCCTCCAACAAACAGATCCATGCTGCTTCCCTCAGATTCATAACTTACTGAGAAGGTTGCAGCAAAGAAAATAATGGGGGCAAATTCAGAGTAAATGTCAAAGAAGGTTGAATTTTCAGGTCTAAACCTCAACAAAGTCCCTTTTTAAAAGTAAAAGACAAAATCTTGATTGCATTGGTGTCTAACATCTACAAAAATGCTGGTCTCTCAGGAGGAGGATACAGCTACTGTGCTCCTCAGCCTTAGGGGGAGACATCCCTCTAAATTCCAGTACAGTCAGGGATACCACCTAGCTTGTATCAGCAACCGCATGGCCCCCAGCCTTCTACTATGTCTTTGCTGTCAAGTTTGATGTTGTCTGTGTTTTTCTCATTGAACATGGGGCCTCCATGCCTTATCATGAGCTCCGTTGCCATCTTCACAAAAGCTTCCTCCACATTGCTGGAGTCTTTCGCAGATGTTTCTATGGCACAAATGATATCGTAGTGTTCAGCCAGATTCTGAGCCTCCTCCAGCTGAACCTCTCGAAGGTCACTTAAGTCAGACTTGTTTCCTGGCAGAAGAAAGTGGAATTGTTTACAGATTAACTTTTTTATAATTACTGATGTCTGTGCAAATGTTCAGGAGGGGGCGTGAAGGAGAAGAGATAGTAGCAGGAACCATGGGAGTGGGGCAGGAGTTCAGCAGCAAGAGCCTTTGGTGAAGCAGGGAAAATGGGCTGGCGGTCAAAGCCAAAACCGTTGCAGGGGTGGGGATAGGGAAAGGAAGGTAAAGTGAGAGCGAGTGCAAGCTGTTGGTCAGCCTGCAGGAGCTGGATGCAGAACTGTGACCCATGTTATTATATAAAATTAAACTAACATTCACTCTTTGGACTCTCAGACTACAATTTAGTCTTCTGGTGCTTATATATATATATATATATATATAAGCAGCCATGATGACATAGTCATTGCCCTTGAGAAATGAAATTACACACAGGGACTGACTTCAAAAATCAGGGGTCAACTGTGTGCCTAACACTCAACTTGCACATACAATTGCGGTAACTGAATGTACAAATCAAGTGCACAACAGTGCATGCATTTTCACCCGTGCCTGACTTTGAAATTCAGATCTACAAGAACGACACTGAACAGTGAGTGAAATCAGAGAACGCAAGCTCTACCAGGGTTAATAAAAAGTGAAAAGCAAAGGAAACCTCTTATCTAACATAATATGAACTCAGTAAATTTTAAACTTCCAGGAACTGTCGTTTGGTGTGTCTGTACCTTGTCTAGCACAATGGGGTCCTGGTCCATGACTAGGGATACCAGATGGTATGTAATACAAGTAATAAATAATAACACAATGTGGTGTAAATGGTATATGCTGGACTGAAGCCATGACTGAAGAAGGGAAAATACTGATTCAAGTACACAATATACTCACCAGAAAGTAAAGTATTTAAAGGACAGAATGGTAGGCTGGCAGTCTCAAAACTAGCGCCTTAAAAGTTGGGAATAAACATGTTTGCTGAGGCAATGATTAATAAACAGGAGAGTGGAACCCAGAAACCTCTTGAGTTAGAACCTTGTGTCTGACAGTGACTTCTCATAAACATATGATTGAACTTTATTCCGTCCGTTCTGACTTCTGTAAAAGGAGGATAAAACTCTTACCTGCCTCACAGAGGTGGTCTGTGTGGTTAGTGTTTGCACAGTGCTTTGATGCTGTATAGTTTTATTTGAGTTCCTCACTCATCCAGAAAGGGATTAATTTCCAAACTCACCAATCAGTAACTGTACTATGTTGGAACCAGCATACTTCCTCACATCCTCAATCCAGCGAGGAATGGACTGGAAAGAGCCTCTCTTGCTGATGTCGTAGGCTAGGATTGCTCCATTGGCGCTTCGGTAGTAGCTCTGTGTGATGGTTCGGAATCTCTCCTGCCCTGCTGTGTCCCAGATCTGCAACTAAACAAAATAAAACATGCAGTGAGATACTGGCTATTCACATATAGGGAACTGGTCTTGCTTTTCAGGTTAAGTCCTTTCCTCCTGAATGAAATGTGACTGGGTCAGGATTTAAACACACACTGAGCTCTGCTGGTTAACAAGACAGGCGTTGGTTCAGTGACCTTATAGAAAATCTATGCACAAACGTGGTGCTTTTTAAAATTTCTCTTAAAAAAAATCCTGTGTCCCTCAGCTGAGATGAAAATTATGTACTCAGGGTAACATTTTCATAGTTGGTTGCCTAAAGTTAGCACCAAAATCCATAATTAGGCACCTATGCAAAAGTGACCTCATTTTTAGGAGTGCTAGTATTTCCAACTCCCTGTGAAGTCATAAGGAGCTCAGAATGCCTGGTAATTTGAAAAATCAGCCTAATTTTGCCTAGATATCTAAATATTTTACCTAAAAATCTTCCCTCCACACAACTAGGAAGATAAAGAGTGTCACAGAACTGAATGTCTGTCAGCCATCCTCTTCATTTAGGAGGCTGAATAGACATTATGCACAGGTAGTAATAGGCCTGTCTAAACTGTAATGCTCTCGCTTAAATCTAGTACCAAAGGAACTGCCATCCCATATCAGATTGACGGTCCATCTAGACTAGTACGCAGTGTCTGAGTAGTCAGCCTGGGATGCATCAGAAGAAAGTACAATAAAACCGATGGTGAACAGTAGAGAATAACCTGCTCATGGAGGAAGTTTCTTCTTATCCTGTCATGTATTGGTGGTCTTATCTCCTGAAGCCTGAGAATTTATCCCATACAGCTTTTTAATTTAAAGTAACTGTGGATATTCTCATTCACCATATACATTTCTAATCCTTTTTGAATGCTATCAAGCTCAATATATAGTAGCAATGACTTCCACAGTATTTTCTTTTCAGTTTAAATCTGTTGCCTTTCAATTTCATTAAATGTTTCTTTTTCCTTGTATTCTGAGGGGGTAAATGGGAGTGTCTAGTTTACTTTCTTTGTACTATTCATTATATTATGTACCTCTGTCATGACTTCTCTTTTTTTTGTCCCCTCTCTAAGGTAAACAGTCTTAGCCTTTTCAATCTCCCCAGACATGGAAGTCTTTCCATTTCTGAGCCCTTCTATTTCTTTTATATTCTTTTTCAGATGACATGACCAGAACATAACACAGAATCAGAATCCACAGAATCTGGATCAATATTATTTTCCATACCATTCCTTGTGCATCCTAACATTGTGGCTGCATTTTTTTGACCACTGCTGCATAACTGATCAGAAGTTTTGTTTTTGCTGTCTACAATGCCCTGATCTTTTATAGTTAAAATTAATCCTTCCAATTAACAGGTTATTAGAAATCTTGGTTAGAGAGCATTTTCAGAGGAGTGGAGAAGGGTAGAAGCTATATTAGAACACATCCAGAATGGAGAAGAACTCCAGGCAATGGTTGTCAATGATCTGGAAATGATGGATGCTATGTACGTGGGGCAGTAACTGGAGAGTTGTAGGTTATGTAGGTAGTTTGTGACAGTGCTGGGAACAGAACCTTAATCTCTGAGAAGGAAGACCCATACTTTTCCCACTAGAACACAATGCCTTTCATGGGTTCAAATCTCAGCACTTGGTCAGGCCAATTGTAAAATGAAGGTAATAATGCTAACCCAACGTTCTGGAGAGCTTTGAGATCTCCTGTACAGATGAAGAACCACTATATAACCATAAAGTGTGAATTATTAGCCACACTTATCAGATAACGTAATGAAGAGTGATTTACCTGTGATGTGACTTTCGGTATGTCTATACTGCAGCTGGGAGTGAACCTCCCAGGCTGGGCAGACAGATTTACACTAGCACCCTAAAAACAGAAGTGTGGATGTTGCTGCACTGGCAGAGGCTTGGGCTAGCCACCTGAGTCTGTCTACCTGGGCTGGGAGCCTTGCTCTTAGCTGCAGCGTAGACATCCCTTAGCAGGTTAGGCAATGGCTTTGCGGTCAGGCAACCTAGGTTTTAGTCCTGGGTCTCATTACTATGGGCCCAATCCTGCACACGCTTCTGCATATGAGTGACTTTACTCACCCATGTAAGTGTTTGCAGGTTCAGGCTTCAGAATGGTCAGAGTTCCTATGCTATTCTCAACAGAGGATACAGACCCCAAGTTTGACTTCATTGGTAGCTCAAATAGTAACGCAACAGATCTTCTCCTAAGCCTCCTCCCTACGTTAGGTTGTTTCCTTCTAGAACCTCTTGGTCTTAGCTCCCTAAATCCCTCTACATTCCTATACAAGGACTTAGGTAGCCTCTTGCAGGACCCTTACATTGCTGACTTTTTACCAGTATTACAATGATTATAGGCTGTGCTGTGTGTGACTGATTTACCTTCCTTGGGATCTTGTACCTTGACAGCTATATACTGAATGAGGAAGGCTATTATTTTGACCAGCACAACTCACCTCTTTTAATTTAGGAAGGAAGGAAGATTAAGTAAAAACTCACCTTGGAAATTCTAAAAATCAAACAACTTCGTTTAAAAAAAGTTAAGGTTGCTAAGTGGCAACACTGTTTTGTTTAGACAGCATCACTAGAAAACCCAAGCACTTCAAATCAAGGAAATCAATCGTTGATCCAAACCAAATGCAGTTTTTTCCAATAGTCTCAAATACATACACATACAAAATCCTGTTGAAAAAGAAACACAAATACTCTCTATATGTACACATTAGTCAGCCTCAAATGCAAGTCATATATATAATTTTATGAGGAATCGACAGTTACACATTCTCCCATTAAATTACATATGCAACATCATTGGCAAGAAACAGCAATTACAATTTCTTTACCAAAAATTGTACTCTTAATAATGACTGTTTCTCATTAAAAAGCATCCTTGAAAAAAATGTAAACACTAAAATCAAAATAAATACATAAAGGAACTGTACGATCCAGGGATCATTGTTAAGGATGTGATAAAATATTTTTATATTTCATAACAATGTTGTGTTCACAATATTGTGTTCACAGTGTAAGAGATGAAGCTCTTAACTATTTCCTTGTAAAGTGCTTGGGTTCTGTAAATGTGATAAGAAGGTGCATTTGTCACTTAGCAACCTTAACTGTTGTTTAAACAATTTTTGTTTTTCTAATTACATTGGCAACAACTCACATTAAGACAATGAGATAGAGAAGTTGGGGAATAAATACATGGAGAAGGCCAAAACAGCTATATATTGAGAGACTGGCAGGACGTTTTTAAGCAATGATCAGCAGGAGCAAGTGGGTACAGGAGAGAGGATAAATACTCACTGTTCTCAGAAAGTGTGACAGGATATTCTTATTGAACAAAACAGAGGAGCTGCCCTTGTCACCCATCCTGTGATACTGAATGCCTATTTATTACATGAATTAGTTATTTTGGTCTGTTTTTCGCTTTGAATTTTGTGGACACCACAGGACTTAGCACTGGCTGGCACTGGGCTACACTGTGCTAAACAGAGTGTACTACTTTGACACACAACCACCTACTTGTACAGGAGCTACTCCTATTGCAAAAACAATGAGCATACTGCACACAAACAAGACGTTTCTCCTATTCTTTATTGCTGCGTAAAGTTTAATGGCGTGAATGCTGAATAACTACCAGATAAACTGGGTAAAATGCACATCCAATGCTGTGCATGTACACAGGTATGTTACTTTGAACTATCCCACAGTGATGCTAAAGCAACAATGAAAGAGAGCTTTTAAAGACCAGTGGAGAACCTTCCCCCCTCAACCCCCTCTTTTTTTCCTTTAACATTTTGATAGCAGATGGATCAAAATGTTACAAAGAATTTTGCCAGCTGCAATTACAAACCACACAATCCAAAAGAAGATGGCACATCAGGTATCCCTCAGGGATCAATGTATTATCATTACTTAATATTACACAAGAAAACAGAAGTGATTGTAAAGAAAGCCTGGGATGGAAAAATACAAACAAATATATACCATACCATCCACATATTTCAATGTGGATTTAGCAATTCCATATACATTAGGAAAAGGGTTACCAATATTTAATGGAATCCATCAATACTCTTTTGTTCCCTACAGCAAACTCTCTATGTTCCAAGCAACAGGGCTGACCAAATTCTCAGGTCACAACCTCTCCCCAAAGTCCAAAGCCTGGTTCTTTTGTTTTCTTGAGGGAGGGAACAGAGCACAAATACCTAGGGTGTTCCCCCCCTCACTTTTATATTCCAGTCACCCTTTGAAAAGCATTTTCCTGGGGGTTACCCCTAGATAAAGTTCCTTTCCACTGTGAGGACAGAGAGACATGGAGTCTCGTGGTAAATGAGCTTCCCTGTTGTTTGTTAAAATGCAGATCGATCTGTTCCTGCCCCCTTTGATTGCCAAAAAATGATTACTTGACTGGTGATTGCCAGTCAACGTTGAAGCCACTTGGCTTGAGTCATTAGCTTGTTTTTTGTGCTCGAGAAACAGGTTTACCTCCTCCCCAGACTTGTCTGGTAAATACATTTCAGTCATAATTTTATCTTATGTTCATGTCACTGTCACTGTATGTCATGTCACTGCATACATTGCACCGTGATATTATTGACCAGTGAATTATTAGTTTTCAAATGATACCTCACAAGGCACATTTTGTATGAAGATTATTACAGTGCTGTATAGGGTGTGATTACATGGTGCACACATGATTACTGGTCACAGCTAGCCTCCAAGAAAGCTCTGATTCAACTAACTGAAAATGGACAAAGTTTACATAATCTTGTCATTGCAGAAAATGGTAAGTTTATCATTGGACTTAACAATACAGGATTAGGTCAACATATGTCGTGCAATGTACATTTAGAAGAGAATTTTATCTGTGAAATAAGATAGCAAAATAAGCATCTGGAATTTAGGCTTTTGCTAGATTTTAAAAGAGCAATTCCAAAAATTAAGCACCCAAAATAGCTTTCCTGTGGGTTCAGCTTAAAAGTTACA